CAAAATCATCTGCTGCTCCTCAGCTTTGCTCTCTGAATATTTCCTCTGAATATTTCACTGCATATAAGTGACCGAGAGCTACTGTCTTACTGGGAGAAAGTTTTTCCCTGGAGTGTCAGTAAAAATACAGGGTTGGTTCTAGGGAGCTAAGTAATGTGTATGTTAGATAACATCTTATTCCTTGATGAGAGTCACTGAATCTAGGTAGTAAGAAATCCTGAAACATCGGGGTTTTTTTCTTGCAGCTGCTCGTGTAAGTCCACGGCCTTTTAGAAATCAATATTGGCATTGGCATAATGCAGTGGAATTACCAGACCTTGTCCTTGTGGCACACAGCCAGTGCTGAGAGCCAAGTGTCTTTCAGTTCTGGTTTGTGTTGACAGCTAGCCTGATGAGAATTAGGGGACTGACACCAGTTATTTCTCATTTAAAAATATATTAAAAAAACCCCAGCCCAAGGAACAACACCGCAAGTATTCATTCGCAAAGTCCATCCAGAAAGCTGAGCACTTCCCTTCAATGGTGTTCGCTTCCTGTCCCTTTACCTCTCCTTTCCAGCCATCCAGACCACCGTAAACCTGCTGAGAGCAGGGAGCCCCCCACCCCACAAAGAGGCGCGGCAGAAGCGGAAGGAGTTGCGGCAGAAGCTGTTGGCTGAGCAGGAGGAGCTGGAGCGGCAGATGAAGGAACTGCAGGCGGCCAATGAGAACAAGCAGAAGGAACTGGAGGCCGTGCGAAAGGTGGGAGTGGGAGCTGCCAACCCTCAAGCCTTAAGCTCAATCCCTGTGGTTGAACTGGGCTTCTTGGAGCATGATCGGGCATCTGTTTCCTGTTCAGGTGTTTGAGGCACATTGTCGGCACCAGTGCCCTGAGCACGTGGATCTGCAGGTGGAGCCTGCAGTGATGCTCCAGCAATGACTGCAGCCCTTTCCAAGGACTGCTCAGCAGGCTCAGGGAACTCACTGGCCCAGCCCTGCCCCTGTACTTAGCAGGGTGTTGTCAAGCTACTGTAGAAGGTCATGCCAGCTCTGTGGATGGGGCTTGGTGACTGGAGAGACTAATTTTCAGTTACTTGTGGGGTTTTTGTTTTCCTTTTCTGTCAGATGTATCTGTCAAATTTAGGGCTTTCCATTAAGGTTTTTTTACAAGCTTTCCAAAGTTATGTTATGTGATTTGTATGTGTATGGGAACTGTTCTTTTCACACAGATGTAGTTTCTAGCAATATAAATTTAATTTACAAAGATTCCAAAGAGGGAAAGTGATTTTATGAGCATGTCTAGGCATAATTTTATTGGAGTAGTTTGGGAGAGATTTGTAGAGCTGAGGCACATAGTGATGTTTAAATGCACATTTCCTGTAAATGCTGGATTAACTTCTGAAAGCCTGAGAATTGGGTTAGAAATGTCCACAAATTAGAAGAAGACTTGGTGAATACATTGTCCTTGTGGACAGTCCTTTAGTCTGAAGACCGGCAGGAGACACCAAGGTACCTGTACTGTGGCTGCACACTCCAACAGCAGATTGAAGATGCTGATCCATCTTTGGACTTTGGAACAGCTGGTGCCTCTGCAATAGTTCTCCACAGACACTTGATTAGTATCCAAATGTAATTTCTATCTTTTAAAAAAAAGACTTGCAGGAACAGTTACTGTGGCTTTTATTGCCTTGATAGCTTTTAGTGTGGAGTGGGCCTTGAAAACAGCACATCAAACACCTCCCTTCCCACTGCTGTCCCACGTTTCACCTGCTGAGTCCCTGCTGCTAGAGCAGACCAGGTCTTGCTTTGTGCTTAGTCTGAAGAGTCTCTTGGACACTGCCTTCCTAAATTAAGGTCATTTTTCACATTCCCGTTCAGAACAAGTCGGCATCATTGCTTGAGTTTTTCCTAAATCAAACCCACTAATTTTAGCCCTGTTAGAAAAAACTTTAGTGATCTTTGCAATGGGGGGAAACTGTAAATATTGTGAGAGCATGTCAAAGCTTTTGAGTCTAGAAAGCAAATAAAACCATCCAAAATACATATTTTTAAAAGTCTTGTCATTAAGCCACAATTTGTGGCAGGGACAAATTTGTCTTTTTTTTTTTTAATTAACCCTGCACTGACAGTACTGTTGTGGGTATTATTCTGTTTGCCTTAAATGGAATCCAACAGCAGAAAACCATTTTTTAATTTAATTTTAGTACCTGTAATCTACCACATGTTTCAGTATGAAAAATAGACTTTAAAGGATAGCCTGTGTTACCTGCAACTGGCAAGTAATATACCTGTTAACACAAATCATAAGGCTGGATTTCTGTGTTGTTGACTCTATGGAGAAAAGGTTAGAGGGAGAGATAACATGAGAACAACCCCCAAGGAGCGGTAGGATGTTGACAGGCTTCAGGGAGTTTTATAAAAATTGCAAACTAAAGGGAGGGAGTTGTGGCCAGAAGCACCTTTTGAAGGGGACTGGATTAAAATGACTTCTCACAGAAAGCAGCTTAGGCTCGGACATGAACTACTGCATTTTGCCTAAGTGGAATTAGTGGGGAGGTACAGTGTTGTAGGAACTGAAAGTGTTTGATTAGTTAAAAAAACGTTCTTCAAGGAAAAGGCTTTGTAAATGGTTCAGGAAACTGAATTGTTCTGGAAAGCTTAGAGATTGATTTGCTCCTGATGGCAGTGAGCCACCATTTGCACACCATTTACATCTGCACTCTGAAACTGGTTTGTATTTTGATAGCTCCTGCAGTAGAAAGCTTCAAAAGAATAAGAACTTTTGTCTAAAACGGACTTTTTTTTCATATTTTTTAATGGAGTTTTGAGATGTGCACATTGAACAGACTGGAAGGTAAGTTTTTCTAACTGTGAGAGCATGCACAAGGTGTGTGCACCCTTTCTGTTTCAATTTGGGGTCTTGCATGGGCTTCAGAGATTCTGTGCTATCTAACAAACATGTGCTGGAATGGTGTGTTCTTGTTGATCCCCTCCCCAACATTTGTGACTTTTCCCTGAACTGCACAGTTCCCAGTAACCTTACAGGTTACTAACAGGAATTGATGTTCCTGAATTAAGCAGGAAGTTGCTGATATGGAGAGGACAAACAGAGTGTTTTCTTGTTGGCACCCACCCTTGGCTGGGACTCTGCACGTTCGCCCTCTTGGCTCAGTATTGGCAATGCTTGTTTAATTTGAAAGCAGGGAAGGAAATCAAAAGGAAATTTCACTTAAATAGGCATCTTGAATTTGACTACAATTACATGCTTTTGAATGTTCTGGCAGAGGAGGAATACTGCTTCTAAAGCACTGGCATCATTTAAGCCTTTCAAAGGAGAGCAATTCTGTACTATGTTCTGCGGCTTAAAAGCAGAAATTTGAGCCTTCTCCTTCACTTCTTGCATCTATTTCAGACTGGAGTGATATAACAAGCACTTATAATAATGAAAGTTTTAGCTTGGCAGTTTTAATTGCTTAGGCATCTCATTAGTTCATCTAGGTTGTGGGAGAGAGGATGCTTTAAATGTGGTGCCTTCCAAAAATACTAACGAGTATGACGGAACATAGAAAGGTTTGGTTTGGCAACGACCTTAATCATCTACTTCCAGCCTCCCTGCTGTGGACAGGGTCACCTTTCACTAGATGAGGTTACTCAAAGCCCCATCCAAACTGACCTTGAACACTTCCAGGGATGGGACATCCACAGCTTCTCTGGGCAACCTGTTCCAGTGCCTCACCACCCTCACAGCAGAGAATTTCTTCCCAATAGTCAATCTAACCCTGCCTTCCTAAAGTTACCCCTTGTATTATCACCACATGCCTTTGTCAATAGTCCCTCTCCAGCTCTCCAATAGACCCTTTAGGCACTGGAAGGTGCTCTAAGCTCTCTCTGGAGCCCTCTCTTCTCCAGGCAGAACAACCTCAACTCTCTCAGCCTGTCTTCATAGGAGAGGTGCTCCATCCCTTTGATAATCTTCTTGGCCTTCCTCTGGACTCACTCCAACAGGTCCATGTCCTTTTTGTGTTGTGTCCCACTCGTATTGAAGGTCTGTGAAAACAATTTCCCCAGCCCAGCATACTATAAAAGAAGCATCAGATAAGTTTCTTTAGAAAATTCTGTGAAAGAATTGTTTTGCTTTCACTGTTGGTAAAGCTTTGGCTGGTACTTGAAGATTTCTAACCTTATGTGCATCAAAATCCTGATGCAAGGAAAAACAGTGACAGCTGGTTTTATTTGTAAAGTGAAGATGCGACAAAAGTTTAAAAAGTTGCAAGAAGGCACGAAGGTACCAGCAACTGTTTCCTAGGCCTTAGCTCTGAGTAGGCTAATTCTCCCTCTAATTTCAAGTGATGATTATCAACCAGAATGTTATTTACCTTACTTGGCAGTTTAGGGGCTGTTAGAGGGGTGTGATTCACAGTAGCACAATCACTTATTCTAGTCAAAGTTCATGGCACTTCTGCTTTGCCATGCAATTCAGTGCTTCTCACTTCTGTTTCTGTATGAAGTCTATGCATGCTGGCATGTTTTCGCTATGGGAACTCCGATGCAATCCTACCTGAAATGTGGTTTTCCGTAACAGTTTTCTATCCCATATGAGGTAGAGAAGGAAATACAGTGATTTCTCTCACTTGTGCAAAACAGGACTCAAAGGAAACTTGGAGGTAGTTGGGATAAGTACCTTTTCATTGATAAATTTCAAATTGTCGTGCAAATAAACAAGATGGAAAATTATATTTAGACATTGAGAAGAGTGTCAGACATTAAAAAAACCCCCACATTGGCACCTTAATGCGTTTGAAGGTTTCTTCCATTTTTGTTTTAGCTTTGACAAATTGGTTTTGTCCTCCTTTTCTTCCCCCCCCACCCCACACCTTTCTCTTCCAGCAACTGGAAGCAGCAGCTGCTCGTGCTGCTGAGGAGGAGAAGAAAAGACTTCAGACTCAAGTTGAATTACAAGATCGCTTCAGTTTGGAGCTGGAGAGAGAAAAAATGGTGAGCAGAGCACGTGGGTTTTTGCTACGATTACACACAGTGAGCTGTGCCTTCAGCAAGGGCTTCCCTCACAGGAGCCACTGAAAAGATTCCACAGATTTTGCAGGAGGCTGGAGAATGCAACCTGTGTTGCATTTGCTAGAGATGTAGGACTAAAATATTTTTACTGGTGAATTCAAATACTGGCACAGCTTGGCTACAATTTGTATAGCTTTCAAGGCTTAAGTGTTACTGGAAAATTGGGAAAAAAATTGACAGTTTGAAGGATAAATGCAGGCTGAAGTTCTTGGAGTTTTCAAAGGCAGAGAACCTGAGGCTAGTATGTGCTATATGAATATGCAAAATGAATCAGGCATAATCAAAATGCATTTTATATATTCCCAGAACTATTGCTTATTTATGCTGTGTCCTCTTTTACATTTATGCACACACACAAATATAAAAAGTAAAGTTGTTATTAACCTACACTGGGAATTTCCAAAAGAGCTAGTTCTGAATCTTCAAGGGTTTTGTCAGGCATGACGAGTTTTTCTGTTATCTGGAGAAAAGAAGCAGAAATTGTTAAGTCAGTGTGATGGGACATCTCAGGACATAAATGCACACAGTGCTGCTTTATGGGTGAGTGTGAATTCCTGAATGCAATCACTTTCTGGGTCACTGGGATTTCGGTTAGCTGAGGGAAAGCAGACTGCAGACCAGTGGGGCAGGACATGCCACCCTCCGACGCGTGACTGCAGCCTGTCGGGGCTATGCAGGACATGCCATGTGTTGGTAAATGCCGAGGGCTTGGTGCTTTATCCCAGCTGCCTCCTGCTGACCCAGCACAGGAATGGGCTCAGTGGGAGTCACAATGCTCCTGGTTTAACTTTCGGGTCGGTGAAAGAGGGATGATAAGGATCAGAGACTGAGGGATTGAGGATAGGCAGCATTCCCTCACCTTCCTCTGTCCCTTACCTTTCTTTGTTGTAGTGGCTCTTCTCTTAGCAGAGCCAACCTCCTTAGCTGTTTTCCAGTCCTTTATCCATCCTGTGCTGATGTGGTGCCATCATCCAGGCACATAAGTCTGTGAGATACATTGCTGCCAATGGAGGACTTGCCTGAGGAGGGGAGTGGAAATTGTCACTAAATCAGCCTGACCTTTGTCTGGCCACTCTGCAGGCTTTCTCTTCCTTCAGTTTAGTGTGTGTCTGTAAACTAAGCAAGAAGATCAAACTAACTGAAGTTAGGTTTGAACCTCCTGTAAAAATCTTGTGCTGCAGGAAGTAGGGCAACGTAAGTAACCTGTATTATTAATTTATTTTTTTTTAATGCTCTTACTTACACATCTGCAGTTCTAGCCACAGTTTTGGCAGTTCCTGCTCTGCAGGAAAAGGTTTGTCTCTGAAAACATCATCTGAGGGAAACCTGGCAATTCCTTTAAAAATTGGAAACCTGAGTTGAATGTTAGCTCATGTGTCCCCAATTTATGCTGCTAGGTAAGGCAAAAGATGGAAGAGCAGGTTGCTCAGAAATCATCTGAACTGGAACAGTATTTACAAAGAGTACGTGAACTGGAAGAAATGTATAAACAGCTACAGGAAGCTTTGGAGGATGAGAAACAGGCACGTCAAGATGAAGAGACTGTGAGGAAACTTCAGGCCAGGTATGGCTTTGACCAGGTAGAAAAGTATTTCAGTTCCCCACCCCTCCCTTGCCAATAGTAAGTAACTGTGCCATGCTACTAATGTTTGTTTGCCTCTTGGACGTGCTGCTGGAATGGGGGAATACCTTCAAGTCAAAACACAGGATTGATTTTATTTTTCCTCAAGATATGAAGGCTGAAGCTGGTATTTAAATATGTCCGATTAGTCCTTAGTAGAGGGAGTGCTCAGCAATTTCAGAAAAGCAGGCACACTTATTTTTCCATCAGGTGGTGTGCTTGTCAGCATGTGGAAAACTGAGATCACTCTGTACAAGCTTTTCAGTTGTTTATTTTATAAAGCACTAACTGTAAATATGACGTTCTACTGTATTTTATCGCAGGTTTAAACTGTAGTGATAAAGGGTTAAGTTTCCTCTTATTCACTTGGGCTTTTTCTACTGTGGTTTCTTTCTTCATATATTTGGTACTAAGACAATGAAGATAACTTATGCATGCTTGTTTCTTCTGGGGTCTGTGTTGTGTATATGCATTATTGACTACATTTTCTGAATAGCCCTTTGTAGCAGTCAGACTGCTTGCACTGCTGGCATGATCAGCAGCTTGATGCTGAAGGCAAACCAGCAAGCAATAATTTTTTCCCTGCTTCCCAAGCTTTTTTTTAGAAAACAATATATTCCTACCCTTTAAAAAAAAAGGGGGGGAGGGGAAAATGAACAATTAACTTTGCTTCCATACATGTGTGCTAGGTAATGGATACAACTTACTTTAAAGTGCAGTTAACAAAACAATGCCCATTGCAGATTGCTGGAAGAGGAGTCAGCAAAGAGAGCTGAACTGGAAAAATGGCATTTGCAGCAGCAACAGACCATTCAGATGACAGAAGCAGAGAAGCAAGAGCTAGAAAACCAGAGAATTATAAAGGAACAGGCTCTTCAAGTTGCTATGCAGCAACTGAAACAACTTGAACTGGAAAGGAAGGAGGCCCTTGAGCAGTACGAGGTGAGCTGTTCTGTGCATCAGCCTCTCATCCACAGATTGACTGAATTTGAAGTTCATCACTGTTATGCTTCTGTAAGGATTAGTATGGCACAAAGGTTATAATGAGAGGTAGGATAGTTGGGTCAGGTTTTTTTGGTCTAGACCAGTGGATACATTTGAAGAAGAGGACCTATTTCAGACACACCACCTCCTTTATTTATTTTTGTCCCAATTTGCATACAAGCCAGCTCAGTCATATCCTGAAACACTCTGTGTGCATTTGTCTTCTACTGTAGACTCACTTCATATGCAGTCCTGTTGCCCTCATAACTGAATGCCTTTTGCTTCTGAATTAGTTATTCTTGCGGTGCTTTGATGATGTAATGGCACAATATTGTCTTCTACAGATGAAATATCAATGTGTTACTGTAGGCACTCGAAAATGTATTTAAGCACTGAATGGAAGTCAAGGATAGCTATGAATTAGCTCAGATTCTAAGTGTGTAGCAGTGCCTCCTGTCCCAAATGCCAGGCCTGTTCTCTGCTCTGCTGAGTGTTTTTGGTGAAGGTCAGTAGCTGTGTTTGTGGAAGAAATAAGAGCCAGAATCCAGCGAGTACAGAGTCTGAAGTGCGGCACAATTTCCAGGACTGGGGAGGTGTTGATCCTGCATGTATTTAGGTCAGGAAACAAAACCTGGCTGGGTTTCTGTTTAACTGGAGAGGGTGTTTATGCTGGCCTCCGTGCCATTGAGGTGAGCTCTGTGAAGGACAAGCCAATGAGCTCTCGACTGGCACAGAATACAAATGCTGCAGTGACTGTGAACAAGGGCCCACGTGGGGTAGTTGTGGACTCTTTACAAGTTCCCATGTTGATGTTACATCTCACACCATCATTGGATTGCTTTTCACTAATACTTGCCATTTCTTTAGGTGACATTTTACGTTTTTGTATGCGAAGCATCACTTAGTACTCTGAAGGAATTGCTGAATACAATAGACATAAAAAAAACCCCCAAAAATCCACAAAACAATTATTTTAGAAATAATTAAACATTCTAGCCTTGCATTTGGAATTGCCTAAAAGCCCAGTTTAGACTGAAGAATGCCTCTGTCTTGCTTGGGTGTAAGAGCAGCGGTCCTTTTCCTTTTTTTATGATTTCTCGTAGTGAGAGATACTTAGTTTGGAACAGAAAGTGTGTCTTCCTATTTTGAAACTACAGTTTACACTTCTAATCTTTGTGAAGATGAGCCCTGCTTACACAGAATCTTTTAAAACCAAGTTATTTTGGGATTCTGGTTTGACAACTTTTTTTTTTTCCAGCGATGACTAAATTACTTGGGATGGTTAGAAATGAAGCTCTCACTAAACAGAGGGCTGGCTGAATTAGCATGGTTCTGGCTTTGGGTTTAAAAGATGTTTTATCTCTTTATATGAACAGAGTTAAGTTGTTCTTGTTTTCAAGCAGGCTGTATCTTATTTCAGGAGGTTAAGAAGAAGTTGGAAACGGCAGCTAATAACACCAAGAGTTGGAAAGATAAAGTAGCTCATCATGAGGGATTAATTCGACTAATAGAGCCAGGTAAGCTATCAACAGAAAAGTTATAAAAATATGCATTCATTCTGTCTCAGGTACTTAAATCACCTGGTGATTTACTGAAACCTGCCTTTTCCTGTAACTTACTGGTTTCATGGCAGCCTATAAATATCCCAATTGTGAGAACTGCTTTCAAGTCTTTACATCTACTGGCCCTACTATAAAGATTTTATTGTCGTTATTATTGTTGTTTGTTTCTTTTATGTTTAAAACAAAGCAAGGATCAGCCTGAGCATGGCATCGTGTAGGTGCTGAATGCAGTTAGCATTCAAAACCGTGAAGTAAATATTTGATTTCTGAAAAAGTTTAATTTCTTAGCTTAATTAATAGCATGCCAGCCCAGAGGAAAGTGGCTTTGTAATGCTGTTCTGGAGAGATCACTTTTCTTCAAGGACATCTCTAAAGGCAGGAAGAAGAGGGGCTACTTAAGACAGAACTATTTGAGGGTGGGGGTTGGAAGTTGGGAGATAAAGATACAAAAGACTGCAGCAGTTGGCAACTCACACTAAGCAGCTTCAGTGACAGCAGCCCAGGCATTCCTCCCTTCTTGGACAGGCAGGTCCTTGGGTCACCTTTGAGAAGGTTTCCAGTCACAGAAGAGGCAGCATTTTCCAAATCCTCCTGTGGTGGGTGTGCAACATCCCTGTCAGAAACGCCCCTCTCAAGTATTGCACTCTGTCTTCCAGGCTCCAAGAATCCTCACTTAATCACAAACTGGGGCCCAGCTGCCTTCACTGAAGCTGAACTGGAGGAAAGACAAAAGAGCTGGAAAGGGAAAAAAGCCACTTCTGAGTGACGGCAGTGGCTGACGTGTTGTCCGTGAATGGCAGCCCACCTCCCCTCATCCTGCTTTGCACAGAGCAGCCTCTCGCTTGCAAAGTTCTTAGTTTGCTCAGCAGATTGGGCCTTTGTACAGATGAAATACTGTTTACCACATCAGAGTGTCTGCTCAGAGCTGAGCAATTACAATATGTGGCGTCTGACAGTACTCGCAGTTTGTTCTCCCTCGTGTTTCCAGAAATTCTCTTCTTTTATAAAAGACTTCTCAACTGAAGGTTTTTATTGAAATGTAGCTTGTGACGGAGTTATTTATGTACTAGCCTGTAACAATCTGACAGCAGCTAACCAATCAAGCAGCATCACTTTCCTTCCAAAAAGTGAGGGAAGCAATTGTTCCATTGGTTGAGTTAGTATAATTTAAACCCAGGATAAGTCAGTCCTGGAGGTTGTGTCCAACTCTGAGACAGAGCATTATCTTTCCTTCCACTGAGCCTCCTTCTACTCTGTCCATCTGCTGCTCTTTGCTTGGTGCTTAGTGCTCAGATACATCCTTTAGTGAGGGTGGGCTGGCAGTACCTGCTGCCTGGTTGGATTTGGTGTCCTGTTTTCCTGTTTGCAGGAATACAAACAAAAGAACTGGAAATAGACATGTAGAAAATGCTGCTGGAAGACATTTGGAAAAAAAGTAGTCGTGCAAGACTGTTTTTGTACTGTCTCACACTTGAGAAGTGCTAAATAAAGCCTTGAGAATTCTCTTAATAGTTTAAAAGATGGAGTTTTGTCTCACAGATTTGTGAGACTGGAATGGAAGGTGATAGCACAGTCCAGATACCATCTGCATCAAGGCTGTGTTTGTGCAAGAAATCTGATTAGAACATACCACCATTTTTAGATGTAGCACTTTAATCTTAATTGGAGGCCAGATTAAAAAAAAAAGTAAAAGGAAAACCAAATTTCACTTTTTTAAAATAAAAATGATAAATGTGTAAAAATAACGGCTTTAGAAAAAAAAAATCATTCCTGTCAGTAAAATAACTTCAGTGTTTCTAGTATCAGGGCTTCCCAAAGAGCCTGCTGCTCTGCCTCACAATTCTTTCCAGGGACAGAGCCAATTATTTCTGTTTCTTTAGGGAAAAGCATCAAGTCCGTGACTTTGCTCTGTAGATCTCCCACACCAGACAAGAAGTCTGTCTATTGCTCAGTAAAACAGGATTCCTGCTAACTTGTACAGAGATTTTTGAGACACCCCCCCTCAAGGAGCAGGTGCCCACTGGTGTGGCTTTGAGTCAGCTTTGACTGTACCCCAGACATCCATCCCTTAGCACCTGCTTGTTAGTTCAGCTACATGTTAAATTATTTTTCGTAAATAAGAAGTGAACTTTTCAGGCGGATAAGCAGTGCCTTTGTGTGCAGCACTGTGATACTTGGATCTTGGAAAAGCAAAAGTTGTACAGAAGTGGTGCCCAGATTTGGAAGTCAATACCATTTTATTTGCCTATTAACTAAGACTCACTCAAATACTGAATCTTCTCAGACATTTATTCTCTGGTTATATTTTTATACTAATTGAAATCTTTAATGTTTCAGTAAATGGAGTGCTGATTAGAATGGCAGGAAAATCCAGGATCTTTGTATTTGTACTTACTGTACAGGAAAACAATAGTTCCTTAAGTTTGATAACAAGGCATTTTTTTAAAAAGATTGATCACGTTTACAGAACCATTGTGAAGAAAAAAAACATCCAACTGTAATAGAAATACTAATGTGCACGTGGTTAAACTTTGCTAAAGGAGCTGGAACAGTATTTATAACTACCAACATCTTTTATGTGGAGAGCAAAAGGTGTATTGGGGCTAAACTTGTTTAATTTTTCTAACAGTCTTTATTTTGGACAACTGTTTTTTAAGAACACCAAATGATGCATGTTTTGATATTTTTTACTGTTGTTTAGAATTGGCTGTTTAATAAAGTAATATAAAGTCATTTACATTTTGGAATTAATTGGTGTCTTTTTGCCTGGGTTTCTTTTGGTTTACTGGTGTTCAAAATCCAGTAACTGTTGTGTGGAAGTATTACTTTGATGGAAGAAGGCTAATGGTCGGATCAGTGGGATGTAGATTAAAGCCATAATAGAGGCAGTGGTCACACAGATAACACAAATATAATTTAACAGCATTGCTTCTCTTACATGTTCATATTCAGTGCACCTTGGTACAGCATCATGGTGCTCAGCTCTGGCAGCCAGTCTTGCTCAGGAACAGTATTTGGAGGGTGCAGTTTAGCTGCCTCTGAAAGACAAGGCATGCCAGGAGGGAAATGAGTTGATGCAGCTGTTGTGCCTACAGCAGCACAGGAACCTTGGAGTGGGAACCTGGGACAAGGGCAGAGCAGGGCTCAGCAGGAGCTGACGGGAACACGGCTGCGGCAGGAGGCACCTGGGCACAGGCGGGGACATGTCAGCCCCATATGTCTGTCTGGAGTCAGCTCTTACTCACTTGCTAGAAGAGGAAATGAGACAAGTTTCCTTTTAGCTTTATTGGGCCTGCTTGCTCTGACAAATTAAGAAAGCTTTGTGTGAAGCGCGGCACAGTAAAGGTGGGGGAGAGGTTGGTTTAAAAATTAAACCATTTGCATTCTGAGCAAAAATACCACTTTAGACTAAGCCCCTTAAAGTGACACTGAACAGCATTCAAAGGGAGCACAGAGCTGTGAGTCAGAGTCACCACAGCTCATGGAACAGTGAGCATGGGAAGCTGCATCCCGTTGTGGTATCATTTCCAGTGAGGCCAAGGGTTCCAGCTCTGCTATTCCAACAAACCAACGAGCCTGCTAATGGTGAGGATATCCTCAGTGAACTGTGGGACTAGGGATAACTCTGTTCTGCCCCAGGAAGCCTCACCTACACCCTGGGCTTAGCCACGCAGAGGCCAGTGAAAAGCTGTGGCTGCTGTTCCTGAACCCTTGGGAATGCTCAGCCCACTTTCTTTTGTTCACCAGATTCAGGTTTAATTTACCTGCTGCTGGTGGAACAGTCCTGCAAACCAATACCACAGTACCATGCTTTTCCCTCTAAAACCAGGATGGGATGTTTTTTTTGCCCTGTGACCATTTTATGGAGTTGATCTATGAGCTGTGCGTAGTGAATCACACGTTGCCAAACTAACAGGCCAGTTTCCAGCAACTTATGTTACTTCTGTTTCAGTGTCCTGCATGAACATCCACAAAAGCAAAGCCTATGTGGAGAAAAGAAACAGTGTCTTAGGATAGAATCCATATCCTGGGGCTGATAGGGGGACCCAGCCCCGCAAAGCAGTAACTGTTTGTACCTGTTCATTGTGGGGGGTGGGAGTTGGAAAGAGATATCTTTAAGGTCCCTTCCAACCCAAGCCATTCTGTGATCCTATGGCTCACTCACACAGGCCACCTGGAACACGAGCTGCATCATCTATCTCAGTAAAAGTGAACTGAAAATAACTGCTCTGATTTTTATCTCAAATATGTGAAGCAGTTAAGTAAACAATTTTTGAGCAAACCAGTTCAGGGGCAAGAAAGGGGATATCCATAAGGTCATTCGGGGAGAGAGGTCATTATTTGTTCCCAAAGGAAAGGGCACAGAAAGGAGGCAGTAGTACACTCTACTGTGCCGCACACTTGTCCCCTCTCAGAGAATGACAAATTCCTTCAACACTTAAGATTTTCGGGACTTTCCAACTCTGCCGGCACCATGCTGATTATTTGATAATTGTGGCTCTCTTTTGTTTGCTTTTTTTAAATAAATCTTTTCGCGCCCCCCACTCCCCCCGCCTGGCTGCCCCCGGAGTTCCCAGGGCAGGAACACCAAGGGGGGCTGGGGCAGGAACACGTCGGGCCGGAGCTCCTCATCGCTTGGCTCCGGCTGCCACCTCGTGGTGACCCAGCTCAGCGTCCCCAGCCCTCGTTCCTGCGGCATTCCCTACCTGTGGAGATGTCCCGGGACAGCCACCCTTCCTCTCCTTTCCCCCGCAGCGGGGGGTGCAAGGGAAAAGCACTGTGAGCCAGGTCTCCTGTTGCACCACCATCACACACCTCCCTGTTGTCCCCGGGTTCATGAGCCAATTCGGCTCCTCTCTCAGCTCAGCTCAGCATGCCTGATCCCAGACATCCCATCAGCCTAGGAAAAAAAGATCTTATGAATGTTACCACTGGCTTAGGATAAATTTAGGCTCAAAGCCTCGAAGCTAAGTCATGCATGTTTTCCCTGAAAACCCCCACTGCAGCAGAGAAGGACAACGTGTACAGTTGCATACAGCATCCAACAATCTCACACCTGCAGGCAAAGCTTGGGCTGCCATAGAGCTTTCCGAATGGCAGTAAAGCAGAGCAAGGAAAAATGGGTAAGGAAGTTTCCTGAGCTGCAAACAGTGTTTTCCCAGGTGCCTCTTACACATGCCCCGAGGCTGCAAGACGGGGGCTGAGAGGAGGATGTGCTCAGCATCACATACTCCCCTTTTGAGAGCAGGACTCAGACTCATCCCTTCAAACCACAAACAGGGTGGGCGTTAGGAGGAGGGGATATCAGCCCATAGTTTGAAACACTTTGGGGCTCCCCACCTGGCAGGGTGAGCAGCCATACAAACATCATGTCTCGAGGACTCCTGGTAGTGCTAATGGGGCCATGAGGTCCAAAATAAAATGGAAACAGAAATTTGTGACACTACTTTAATTCAGGGGCTGTTGTGACTTCCACACACTGAGTCTCACTGTGAACTTCAACTACTTGGAAATGCCAGGAAGCAAAAGTGCAGAAAAGCACTGTTTTCTGAACTGGCTTTCTGGGTATGTCAAAAATACTCATCCTTCAGAAAAAGGAAATGCCAGTGGTTGTTTGAACACATAAGATGAAAATAGATTTGGAAAAAGGTGACTGCTTCTCACTTCCAAAAGAAATTAAAATTGGAACAGTATGATGCAAAACAGTAGATTAAAAACATCCTGAAAAGCCTTAAGAGGGAGATTTAATGAGGCAGTTTTTAACACCTATATACACAGCCCTGGAAGCCCTTCTGCTTTTTTTCCTTCTCATATTTTAGCCTATTTGACAGAGGAAATGTAAAAGGATATGAGCAGCGGGTCAGAGGAAAGCCCATGGCAGACTGGGCAGAACGCTGACCAAAAAAAAAAAAAGAAATCACAACCTCCATAACAACTGCACTCACTTCTCCCCATCAATTAATTCATTAATAAATGAAAAAAACACACAAAAAATAACCCTTTCTATCCTACTCAGTGTGCTCATTGCTCACATCGCCTACCAGAGGAGCTTGATCTAGCACCAGCTTTATTCTCTGTTATTAATATCATTGCTAATTAGTAGAGCTACTTGCCATGGCTACAGCACACAAACAGCTTTTACAGCAGCTGGGCCTAAAAATGTCTTCATGCAAACACTCGCTGTTATTCCTGTTGTTGCCTGTTTTCTGAGCACACAACAGTGATTTGCTCAGGCAACACAGATTTCACCCAGGGGAACCTGCCAGGGTGTTTGTGGGGATGTTTGAGGTGATTTGCACAGGTCTGCGTTGGCAGATCTCGCCCACGGTTGCACAAGGCGCCCGTGTCCTTTCACCTACCTTGGCCAGCAAGTCTAATTTGAACACATCAGTATCTCAGATGGGATTAAAAACTCAAGCATAGACATGAGAGAGTTTCAAAAGCAGCCTGGACTTCCTTGGTGTTGACATTGATTAGCTGTTTCAATGCCTACCAGAGCATGGGGATTTCTCTTTCCATTCTGAAGGTGTGAGTGCTGGGGAGCTGCAGGTCCTCTGGAGTGCTGGTTCCTCAGTCCTGACTAAACAAGAAAAAAAAAAACAACTTAAAAAACTTATTTACGGTCAGACTCTGCTTAGCCACCTTCAGAAAGTCCCTCTCACAGCGTAACTGGGACTGAAATTTTGCATTTGGAGCTGCCCAAAGTTGTGTTTCCTGAACCACTTCCTTTGCCAGTGATGCATTGGGCCATTTTAATCTCTCCCAGACATGCAGTCAACTACCACATATGCCTATGAGAGAGAAACATGCTGTGTTTTGCAGCCAGGCTTTCCCTCCCTGACAGAAAGATTGTGTTGGCCCTGGACTGCTTTTTCCCAGGCATAAGGTGGGAAAAGATGGAGGCAGGGTATGGCCTGCTCACACACAGGCCCCACCAAAAGCTGAGCGGTGTGGCTGCTCCCTGTGGAGATGGTGGTGGCGTCTCCTGTGTTTTCTGTTTTGCTTTAACATGGCTACTGCCTGCCTGTGAGGGTTGCACGATGCCCAAGGGGGTCGCTGCTGGCCCATGAAGCTTCCTGGGAAGATGGCTGGCCCAAAACACCCATCACCCCAAGTCTTTCTCTCTGCATAGCTGCACGTGGCCCTGCTCACAAAAGAAACTTGCCTGCCCGTGCTCCAGCATGTTCCCTTCACTGTCACCATTTCAGATGGCAAGAGCCAAACCTACAGCTGCTCTCAGACCACCTCCAGCCAGAAAATCCTCCCCGACAGCAGGAGAAAATCCAGAGCATATATTCCTTGAAATCATATTTCAAGGAACGGCTCAGACACGGGGCATGGTACAAGAACCAGCTTGGCAGAGCAGCTCACCAAAGGAAGAGGGAACAAGAAAACAACACCAGGTGCCCAACACCCTTGCTGGGCCAGGCTGCTCTCCAGCAGTTCTGCTGTCGGTGCAGAGTACAGACTGGTCCCATCAAGCTTCAAGAACAGCTCTGTGTCTGCCTCTCCCTTCACCCTGTTCTGACCAGTCCCTGCTACTGGTGTCCCTGTGCCTGCCAGCATCCCAGTTAGGGGCATTTCCCACCCAGCAAATTCGAGGTGCTGTGTTGCTGCAGGCTGGCTCAGCTACTTCAGCAGAAAGCTCTTGGGTTGGTGCTGAGCTCAGGGCAGCCTGTGCCCAGCCCAGGGAAGTGTGTGCCAGGCCCAGGGAAGCATGTGCTGAGCCCACACCACCCCTGGGAGAGCAGTGCTGCACGACCGCTCGCTGCTCTTCCAGTTTTCCATTCTTTTCTAATTTTTATCTTGCCCCTCCTGATGAGCCCCAAGTCCCTACATGCCGAAGCAGGGCAAGAAGACTGACACGATTTTTCCAAAGCCCCCGGCGAGTCGTGGAACCCGCAGCCCAGGGCCCCGCCAGCTCCTGCCCCGGCAGGCCGGCCAGGCAGCGGCAGCTGCTCCCCCAGAGACGGAGAGAACAATAAGAAATACCAGATCTGCCGCAGGAATGCGGGAGATACCGTGGCGGGGGGCCCTGGTGAGTCTGGGCAGGATTTGCTCACAGCTTGGCCTCAGCCCAGGGGATGCCACTGAGCCCGGGCTGTCCCGCGGCGGCGGGAGATGCGCGGGGGATGCGCGGGGCCCCCCCGGGCGCCGGACACCAGATGGCAGCCGGACACCGCCGCACGGCCCGGGAGAGCCCGGGGAGCACAGCCCAGCTCGGCAGGCTCCTAATGAATCACATGTGCGGATCCTGCTCCGGGAGGCGGGTTCGCGGGGATGCGGCACCGCGCGGGTGTTGCACAGCTGAGCCGGGCGCACGCCTGGAGCCGCGTCACTTTGTGTACGTGCAGCAGCACACTGCTGTTGCAGGAGGAAAAACCCACACCTAGCACCGAGCCAAAACCTCCTCCTAGGGCTGGGATGACTTATCTCACCAAAGAAAAGGAAAGAGAGGGAGGATCAGGCCGATGACGGACAAGGCTGTCAGTATAGCCATGATGACAGCTCAGGGGGCTTCACCGACCTGCGCCTCGCTCACTCCTGTGCTCTGGGCACGCTGGTCACACTGATTTATTCAGGTGACTGAAACCAGGGTCTGCACCCGCCGCTGCAAAGGCCTGACACACTAATTTGAGACTCATACAGTTACTCTGTTGGGTAACAGTTTCCCTCAATGACTTACGAACTTTAATCCAATTTTGAAATGTAGGGGAGGCTAAATTGGATTACCTTAGCTAAACTGTTCATGCCATAAGCCCTTGAGAAGTGGAACTGGAGGGTTTTTTTCCTCCAGAAAACTTTTGTTGGCCCACAAAATCCTTGGTTTTTTCTTAGCTCAGACACCAAAAGGAGGAGTTTTCGACTTCCAAAAATAAATCAAAGACACCATGATGCCTGCAGGGTATTTGTTTCTCCATAGGAACGTGAACCTGGTGGTTTAGTTTAAGAGAGGCTAAGCTACCTCTCACATTTTCTACATTCCTCTTTCTTCTGATATATCGAGATCGACAGGTTCGAACTGTTGTTTTAATGAAAACCTACTACTCCTGAGAGGGTTTCCTGCTTTAGAAAGATGATATGTCAGAGCTAGAAAATTCCAAACAATTTGACTCGCTATCACCTTCGTCAGGTCCCTTAACCTCCCTATGCCTCAGTTGTGCATTGATGAAACATGAGTGATGTTTACCCATTAAAAAAGCACAGAGACATCTGCAAAATAGGAAGCTGTCCTTGAAAAGAAGGCTCTTTAAGTGATACCCTGAAACTGTGTCCACAAGGTGCAAATCAGATTGCTGCAAGAGGCCTTGGGAAGGGCCATGTGTACCAGGGCAAATCCTGTACAACCAGAGCCCCCTGGCACCAGCCCCTGCCAGGCCCTTGCAGGGTCACCTCCACCTATATGCCTCATTCCTGGCAGTCAGAAAACCTCCTCTGAGCCTTGGGAAAGAACTGCAAATTGAAACAGCCTTCAACTCTCTAATTAACTGGAGCGAAACCCCACATAGTTTCAGGAAAATTAAGCCAGCACTCCTGCCAAGCCCCCTTTTATCACCTCTCATTCAGGCTTCTAAATCAATCCCAGGTAGGTTTTCTTCTCTTTTGTGCGTGTGGAGTTCTGGAAACATCCTGGGGTAAATCTAAACACGACCAAGCTCGACATTGCATCTCTGGAGAGTTTCCAGAGCTTAAGATCTGCAACTCGGAGCAACAAGTTTGGGGGTAGGTGCAAATCACTTGTTGAAGGCTCAAGTATTTGTGTTAAACTCACAAGTACAAGAGGACTCCCTGAACATATTTTTGGTCTTGGAAACTAATCTTTAGCTCTCAGTTTTGTTAATTCTGCAATCCAAAAATATTTTCTTTGCTGTTTTTTTTCTTGACTTCTAAAGGCAATTAGGATTTTCCAACTGTTCTAACAATTTAGAAGCTCTAATATGTGAAAACACTTTCTTGCATTACAAATGTTTCTCCAAATCATAAAATGCATTACAAAGGGGAGAGAGCCAGTCCCTTGTACACTGCTTGGGCTCTCTTCTGGCAGAAAATGACCACTGGCAGCTTGCAAGGCATGGAAAAAGGACTTATCACCCAGATCCTTCAAACACAGTCAAAACTGCCTTAGCTGGGCAAACCGGCACTGATTTCTCAGAACTAATTCCTGGAGGTACAGGTCTGCTGACGTCAAGACTGCTGTGGTTATTGCAGGACTCACAGCCTTTAAAACGTTTTATCTGCAAGCCCCAGTCCAGCCCACTGCACAGAACAGCTCTTCAAACCCTTCTGATAGGGACGGCTGGGACATGAGAATGTCGAGTGCTCTTGACGCCTCCCCACTCACCTGTTCCAACAGTGTAGCCAAATATTTTAGGGATCTCTGAAATCCACACTTTGAGGAGCCAGTTGCTCTCCTGATGGACTCAGAAATCCTCCTGGAACATTGCTGCTTCCTGTCTGAACTCTTTTAAAGCCAGGCTTTCTGCCTGCTATCTGAAAGAAGCCTGTAAAAAAGGGAAAGACAACAAAGTTCAGGAAAGCAGTTATCTGATATGTAAAAGCTCACAGGTGCAATGGGAAGGAATGCACTACTCAGGATTATGTGCCCATTAGGAAAACGGGAAAGGCACTAATGATTTTCAAAGCTAGACTCTCACTTATTATTTCTATCTGGCTATTATTTTTGAGACACTTGAAGATTCCTTTTATCAGGGGATGTTTCCTGAAAACGCCTTGCAGAAAGAGCATTTTTTTAAATTCCCTTTGCATTTCAGGTAGGTGAAGCACTTCATAAGTTGCTCCTACTCAAGGGCAGGAGTAATTGGGGTTTTGGGCGGTGAGGGGATGCTGAGACTTGTCAGCTTGCTGCAAGAGCTGGAGCAGAGCCAGCAGCCATGCAGTGGTCCTGCATGTGGTGGGATGGCATCCACAGAGCTGCCAGTCAGCTGCTTCCTTCTGGTGCAGCAGCACAAAGCTGCATGTAGGTTCATTTTCTGTTTCCCTGTGTTCTGCAGCACAAACACCCCCGGGGTCCCAAAGGCGCAGGATGAAAAACTCATCCTTCCTTTTGGCCCAGATCCTGGACAGACATGTGCACATGCTTAGTGCTGAGCATGTGAGTAGCAACACTGATCTCCATGGAGCAATCCACATGCTTGAGCCTCTGCACATTTGGGAGTGAGGGAGAGAAGGACACTCGGTTCTTTGGTTGCCTGTTTTACATACCACTGATGGAGATCCCACCCAAAAGAGAGCAGTGCAGCAGGATGGCGCTGAGCTATATAGCTATTTTTATTTCCATCATTCATGTCCTTGCTGAGACCTGCTAGGAATTATCTGGGATATTACACCCCAGTCGAGTCGAAATAACAGGTCTTGCTGCAGACAGTCTGTGTTTAGTGGGATGATTTAGTTACTGTTTTCCCCCCACCCCGTCTTCTTCCTTATTCCCATTAGTGACACGTTGGCTGCAGAGAAAAGTTATTCATGCTCCAGAAATGTAATATTTACTCAAAACAATTTTTATTTGGCTTGGCTCCTTCCCAGTGCCATAAAGTGATAGCCAACCCCAAGTGCTTACATAGACAACATGTGCATCTGAGTCATATTTATGATCCCGGTTATAAAAAGCACACAATCTTGTTGTTTGGTGCAATAGGATGGGACTGAAGGCATCAGCACGTCTTGAGCATAGCCTGTCTCTGGAATCTGCAGAAATTTGCCATGCTCCAAATTTAGAACTTGTGGGTGGAAGCTCGGGCAGGAGCCAACTTTTTATACCATTACATCACAGGAATTGAGGGCTTCGTGCCAAAGATCCAAGGAAATTAATAAAGAGCAGAGGCTGTCCAGCTGTTTGAATTTAAAGTCATGGCACAGAGGTAATGATTAATAAATACAGCTTTATTCAGAACATAGTAATCTTGCTGCTTAAATTGAACATATCCCCTCTCTTTACTGCAGCTTATTATTCTGTTAGAACTTGTAAAGATAGTAGGAAGGAATTAACATCTGTAAGAGAGAGGCCCAGTGAACTGGGATCCTTCTGGACAGAGGAGGACACGCTTCAGTGACAACTCTCCAGCTCAGTAACGTTCAGCGAGCGCACGCGTTTGCCAGGGGCATCACGGCTCCCCTGGCTGGAGGAGGTGGCTGGAACGTGGCATGCATTTTTCCAGCTAAAACACACACAGTCTCAAATGGACAGTGATCAAAGCCACATACAGCTAATTTGAAGAGAAATTTAATTTGTTTGACCTCCCTGTGCTGGGGCAGCCAGGGTAAGTTCAAATGTCACAGTCTCCAAGGAGCCGATGGTAAAGCACTGGGGGCTATTACCAAGAGGCACGGGATGACCTGACTGACCTTCCAGCCTGTTTGGGAGGCTCTGTGCATGCCCACAGCCCCAGCAGTGCTTGGCCCTGTGTGCAGTGTTTGGCCCTGGCTCAGGTAAGGGCTGTGCTGGTGCTGGGAGAGGGCCACTGCACTACTGTGCCCTGGCAGACTGTTCAGGTCTACAAGATGCTGCTTTCAGCACCTCTGAAGCACAGCACGCACAACAAGCACCTTCCCAGCTCCACCCTGCAGCCCCCAGCAGGACAGGCTCTGCAGAAACACCTAGCTCTGCACACAGAAAGGGGATGTGGGGTTGAGGTGCTGAGGCTCTCCATGCCAAGGGCCGAACGCAGGCTTGCCATGGAACACATAGCCAGGAGAACACGGCAGTGTCTTTGGAAAAGGGGCTCCCCTGATGCTTAAACCACAGAAATGCTGATATATAGCTTCAGAGATTTACAGCTTATACTCTCCTCAAGGGTATGCAAAAGCTATGAGTAATTAACAATGTAGCTCTAGGTTCTCTAGGAAGTTCTCTCTTTCCATTCTACAGATAAACAAACTGAGGTGGAAAGAAACTAAAAGCTGCTTCACTGGAGCAATATTGTCAGCAAACCAAACACTAGAGTTCCCAAGGAGATGCTCCTGTACCCACAGATATCTCATCATGTTTGCACATGTATTTCTTGCAACAGCACATACCAAACAGCCTTATACATCCATGCCTCATCAGGAGCCAGCACAGCAAAGATCAGGACCTGCAGCTTCCAACATTCCCTGCTTTAGTCTAAGCTCCCACACATGCACAATATACCTTTCTCCAGGGAGAGCACGTTAAAAAAAAAATTTAAAAAAAATCACTTCAGCCATGTGGTCACAGGGTGACAATTTCCACAATGCAAATAAGACAGTTAATAGGGATAGGGAATAGTAAGGGATAAATAGCAGAAATCAAGTCAGATCAACTTGATGACCTTAGAGGTCTTTTCCAAGCTAAGCTATTCCATGATTCTAAGCCACTCTTCATTTCTTAATGTAGTGTTTCCACCTGCAACACAGGCATGTGCATGCAGGGGGTGTTACAAGAATTCAGGCTGCTCTAGATTCAACAGGCTCTATTACTAGATAAACTTCTTGCATTTTACCTAGAAAAATACGATGCCAACCATTCATTCTTGCCAGAGAACCCACAGAGATCCTGGCTGTGCTCAAGTACAGTGCTGTGTATTTTTTTCCCAGCATGTAGCTCATCACAGTGGACTGTGTATTTTACTTTTTGTGAACAGCTGTGAACATCTAAAGATTAAGAAATCTCAGGTTTATTAACATCCCCCTTATAGTTAAGAGACACCCTCCTGCGACACATGACTCACGAGGTAAGGTGAGGGGCTGCAGTGGGTGAGAAGAGCCTTCAGCTTCTGCTTTGCTGGGGGATGGGAGGTGGCTTTCTGGGAACCTGTAGCTCCTGGAGCTGGCTTGTCCATGTGGCTGCATGCTGAAAAGCACTGACATGGCTCTGAAGCATTTCTCTGCCTCAACAAAAAATGGCACGAGGAGGCTTTGAGGAGGAACAATACACAGTTTTCCTGGAGTGCTAGAAACACCTGTATAATGGGACTGAAATGGAAAAATGGACTTTAGTAATTGGATAACTTGAAGAGAAAATAAAAAACAAAAAGTTATTATCAGGGCAGAAAGCACCCCAAAAGCTATCACCAGATGTTTGCCAGAGGAAAAAGGCAAAAGACTCCTTTTTTCCCACCTGAGTGCCCCATGGTAGGTTCAGTTTGAGGAGTGAAGCAGCCATTTTACCTGCAGTCTAATGCTGTTTGTTACTGCACAGTTTTTTTGCACGAGCTCCTCTTGCATTAGAGAGAGTCTGGAACAGCACGTTCCTGTGCCCTCGACATATGGACAGAATGTGGAAGAAAAAAGGTCAGCAAAACAAACAGTCTTAAGGGTACCAGCGTGCACCCCAGAAGCTGGGAATGCCTACCTGTCAGAGCTAGACAGGGGATGCTCCCTGTCCTCAGCCCTTCCTTTCAGGAGCTGCAGGATGGTAACCTCACCTCCTTGGAGCACTGCATCAGACAAGTAATTGCAGTGAGCAAGTCATTCTATGGAAATAGCTAAAATGCTTCAAGCTATAACCCAACAAGTTTCTAACCCATGGCTAATGTCCAGCTCTCTTCCTGCTGAAGTCAGCACCAATCTCTCCTGCCCCATCTACAGTTGTTAGAAATGCAGCAAACATTTAAAAATTTGGAGACGTTGCCCATTCTTATAACTGGACAAGAGTCAGATTTTCAAAGTGCTACTTATGCTGCATAGAAACTTCCTTCCCAGAAGTCCCCTTGTTTCCAGCAGACAATCCCTTATTTCACTGCTGGTTCTAGATGCAGCCAACCATCATCCTATTTAAAAGTCATTCTCTTGGATGTTGTCTTCCAACAATAGGAGCAATAAACATGTTTGGTCAGCTAATTTACCTTCTGCAGTCGCTAATAGACTAATGACCTGTTTTATCTTCTGGCACGTAGCTTTTGAAACCAACTCCAATTGGTAGCACAGAAATCAATACTAATATATAAAATATGGAGAAGAGTTTTATGAGAAGATGGGTTTGTGGTTCTTATTTTGACTTTTTTTCCATGAGATTCTTAAAAGTTTCAAACCCTGAAACTAAGGAACTTTGGTTGTGCCTTATTTTCCAGTAGTTTCTCTAAAAGATGAGTCGTTCGGAAAGCATGGAAAGTATTAGAGTAATTGCTTTGATGTCTTTAATAGAAATTCAGGATGGATTTGAAAGAAATGAGGACAGTGCTGTTATTTCCTTTTGGCATGGCAGTCTGACATGACTGGTACTGTTATACAACACAGCAACCAAACAGCAGTGCACACACAAACTCAGCAGTGGGTTGAGGAACTTGTCCTAATCAAGTTTATAGCTGGATGCTAATGGACTCAGCAAACAAACACCCCTGTTTATCATAACAGAATGAACAGAATGTACCACAGACAATATGACTCACTTTTCCATAGGACGCCTGTCAATTCTGCAGGTTTCAATAATGAAATATTGCACCTCTCACTTACAGTTTGTTTTACAAGGTTTTAATGAGTTCATCCCAATGAGCTGTCACTGTGCCACATAAAAACTGATTCATTTGCCTTATGAAAATAAGTGTGCCTTTTGACGGGACACTCTGCACCAGGCCCCACTAAATCAGCCGGAGAGGCTAGACTAACTCACAGGTGGTTTTAGTCTGGAGTGCTTTTTGAAACAAAAATATGCAGCCAGCTTCAGCAGCATGTCGGCTGTTTTCCCTTGGGTGACAGGCTGTCCTGCTGCATCCAAAGTACCCCTCCTCCTCCTCCACAGTACAGAGTCTGTCTTTTAAACTGGTCCTTTAAAACCATGACTTTCCGTAAGAAAAGGGTTTGTTTTAAAGCAGAGTTTGGGAAAGTGGCAATTAAGAAATGATTACATTTTTATTTCAAAACACATAAGCTGCCTATTAACTCACAGGAAATTCTGATAAAAGTAGGTGTCCTTATAAGACCCTCCTGCAAGAAATTCAAATGAAGGGAAAGGGAGGGAAAGAGATTTCTAAGTAAACAAGTGAAGAAAGCCAGGGAAAACAAGAGCAATAAGCAGAGTCTCAGGTGGCTGACTTGGCAGAGTGGGGCGTGAAGGAAGGAAGAGACTGTGGGACAACGAACTGCTGGCGTTTACAGTAGTCAAGAGGTCTCCGGAGTTTGTGACTTTAACCACAAGTTGCTTAACAATACTGTATGCTCCTTCTCTTTCAGATCTAGCCCCAGTCATGTGGGTAAGTCCCCCTTCCAGTCAAGAGGGTGGATGCACGTGCATGGGTGGTGTTGTGGATGGTGCTGTTGGACAAAGGAGGAGAAGGAGGAGGACTGACAGAAGGGATGTTTCACTGCCCCTTGAAATTACAGAGTCATGATGAGAAAAGACAGCTCCTGACTCAGGTCTCAGTCCCTGGACAGGAGAAGGCTGGTGAGTAACAAGTTTGGGACTGAGGGACTGCCCTGTGGTGTAGAGCCAGTTACAGCTGGAATGAACTTATTTTTTTCTCCCCTGAAGCCAGTGAAGGCCTTCAAGTGCCAGAAGAGAGTCACGAGAGAAGAGAAATGGTGTATTTGTCACTTCCCAGCAACAGATGCAGGAAAGCAGAGGATCCATTAGCAAAGAGGCCAATATAAGCTGGCACTTCAGAGATCAACTTCTTGCTGTGGCTTTCTATGAAGCATGGACAGTTACCACGGAAGACACACTCGATTCACGTTTGTGGTGGACATTAACCGTAGCTAAGACTCTGCAAGGTAGAAAACCATTTCAAATTAAGAAATTAAATATTCCCCAGGTTAAAGATTGCTCAGGTTATATCTCACCCCTATGGGAATTTTCAGCAAATGCATTCTTTCAAAGTTATTTAAGCACTCTTTTTTATCACGAAACACTAGCTGCAGTAATGAAGAAACTAACTGAATGACAGAGAAGCAGACCCTAAAATAGCTACCATTAACACCAGGAAGGCTGGGGGTGTGTTATCCTGTGGTTTTCTGTGCTCGGTAGTGATGTGTCACGATAAAGAACGTGCATTTAACCGCTGAACAATGCTGTGCATGGTGTCACCTTCCCAAGGGCTAACCGTGCAACAGCTTCTCCAAACTGCTGAATTTCCACTGCTGAAGCAGTTCATTAAAAAAAACCCTCATACAGCTGGGAATTATAAAACTCTGCAAGAGCCTGTGATGCCAAGGACCTTCATTTGGAGGCACACCTATGTTTCTAGTGCTTCGGAAGCTGGTCTTTTCCAGAAATCTTTCTATAGACGCTAGAGCAAGGATGAATCTGGCCACAGTCCATTCACCATGAGTGATTATATCTTAAAGGGATATTCCCTCTCTCTAAAAATTCTGATTCTTCACATGTTTCTGGTTAAAAAAACAAAAACCAAACACAAAAGAACCAACCCTTGTGCCTATGTCAGTGTCTTCACTGTATAAATTTAAACATTCCATTGTAAGCTAAGATTATCTTGCCTCTTGCCCACTGAGACATGTGGGTTTGGCTTTATAAGACTCCATAACTGGCCTGCTTGAACCCTGTCCAGCAAGTTTTCATCTAAATTGATTAGGACTTGGAACATATTTTCTTGGACAAATTGTGTTCTAATGAATAGAACACTCCCTCACAGCTGTTCTGCCAGAAAGCCAAGATTTTTTCTGTCTAAAAATCATCCCAAAGTGACCCTTAGATAAAGTTCAGAATCCATTTTCATTTTTTAATTAAGAAAAGGTTTGCTTAATTCCATTCCATACATTTCAGTGCTAGGCAGCTGACACACGATTCCCTCTAAACATTTTATTTTAAAGAATTTGGTTGTGATGTCAGGTCTGCCACAGACAATACATTTCTAAACACACTGTTTACATTAAATGCAAAGCATAAAGACGGTTTCAGCAGGAGGAGAAGCCTCTCTTATCCCAATACCTGTAAATGGCACAGAGAGCAAGCTCAAGGTCAGCTCTATTCTCCACTCAACAAATTTAAACATTAATGAAGACAAATAGGGAATATCACTATGAAGCCTCACCCAGCCACCAGAGATTTCCACAATACACTTCTCCAGGGACAAGGCTCCCCAAGAGACCCCTCCTCATGCCCAAGAGGTAGCTTCACGAGCTCACCTTCAAGTCCAAGTGTGGACTGGCTGGGAAATCCTGTCATTAATTAATGCTGGTCAAATGAAGACGGCATTTCCCTTCGGTAAGGAGCTCTGGCCACTCCGAGGTAAGAGCCATCCCCAGTTAGGATGAATGCACATTTTCTTTTTAGCATTTTGCTCTATATTGTTCTCCCAGATGTCCCAGCTTGAAACCTCAGTAAATGTGTTATGATTAGCCCATCTGGAATTTTTATTCTATGACCATTCCCATGGTACACAAGGAGGATTTCATTCAATCCAGAATACCCAGTGGACATCCATGGTTACATCATTTTCCTTATCTCCTAGCAAAAGTATTTCTAGGAACCAGGAGTACAATTTGAGACAAGATCAGATCTTTTTTTAGTCTTGCAAAAGATGGTTCTGACCCATGTGGAAATAATGCGCCTTCAGCATGTTTTCAGGACTTTATTGACACGTGGCATTCAGAAATTAAATATGTTTGCAGGAATTTAAAGGAACAGGTCTTTCAAGAAACACAACTTCCTAACTCTTTAAACACTGGCTATATCTCTAACAAGACAGGAAACTGAAGCAAAGTTTCAACTGAAGCACAGTCTCAAGTGGAATTTGACTATTTTAATTACTAACTATGCTTACAGAAGAAAAGTCAATGAGGAGAAATTACTCTGCTACAAGAGTAATTAGCATTGTGGTATTGCTTGTGCAAAATGTGTCATAAGAAGACACTAAGAATGGGAAGTTTCATCTGCTCTCAACAGCCTCTGTTTGCTCACACTTGAGAGACACACTGAGCTTCAGAAATTTACCTGGAGTCCCCTGGAGAAGATGATAGCTTCTGCAGTCATTCTCCAATGTCATTACTGAAAGTTGGTCCAGTCACATCAACATGCTTAGTCAATCTGCATAAATAGATAGAAAGATCTTATTTTAGCTTATGCTGTTTTTACAGACAGATTCAGATGGAAAAATATCTTGCACCTCGCCTAGAAACCATGTCATCTTTGGTTGTGGACTACAAAAACCAAGTATATCTGCAGTCATTGATTTCAGCCCTTTTTTTCTCTTATTTTTTTTTTCCCTGTGTGCACTTAAACCATTGGAATCTAAATATAATGACAAGGAACGAACATAAACAAGATTTGCCAACACGTTATCGCACTGTGTTCTGCAGCCTGCTATTGTCTGGAAATGTGGTTATAGTGGGCAGATTATCCAACATTAAACCCTCCTGAAAGCATACACAGAAAATAAGATATAATCATGCTCAGAGCAGTTATCTTTAAACACAAGCACGGCTTCAGCACCCAGTGGAAAGCAGCAAGCAAAGATATGGGCCCAAGGCAAAACAACGACCAACTGCCAAGAAATATCCTTGTTAGCCTTTGTTTGTCTTTTTAAAGTCATTGTGCAGTATAATTAATTTGGTAACATGCAGATGAGAAAGTGGAAAAAAATGTGAAGACATAGGGAGATGAAATGCTAAAGCACTGAAAGATGTCACCTCCTCTGTGAAATGCTTACATTGTGAAATAAAAAGAGAAGAACGAACGAGTCATTTCAGGATATGTCTGGAAGGAGAGATAAAACCAGAAGATTACAATCTTCTAGTAGTCTCACACAAAACCTCTGTATTTGCATTCTACATCATGCGGGCTGAGTATGAACACAAAGCAAGAGGGTACTAAATGCAGAACAGACAAGATGAAGTGCAGTCTAAGAAATAGGATTTCAGGACATGGTGGCACTTTCAAGATCCTGAGAACTCGATCCACATGTTCCTTGAAGATGGCAACAACATTTGTTCACAAGAGCTGAAGGTTGATCAAGCCCAAGTTATCAGATAATGATTAACTCAGAGAAAGCAGCAGAGGGAGCAGAACTCAAGTCAACCGTTGTGATCACCCCTGGTGGCCCCTGTGTGCTACCAAGTTGATTGCGGACTTTAAGTCCTTTTTTGGTTGTATTCCAGCTTGTTAAACACACGCAGCTCTTCTCCCTGTTTATCTGTTTTGCAGTGTGGGATGTGTGAGTAGTTTTGCGAACTTATTTAAAGCTTTCAAGCAGAGACAGACAAAAACATTTAGACAGAGACAGCAAACTATTTCTTGAGCTGAAGAGGAGATTTCAGGTCAGATGTCAGCTATCATGTCCAGGTTAAGTTCCCCTTGCACCATTTTCAGATTTGAGCTGTCTTTGGGAGCAGCTGGGGATTTCCTTTTCCTTAAGTGACCCATGGGTGGCATAAGGCCAGGCAAAGCCAGACTTCTGCTGTCTGCTCCCCAGCTATCTGGTGACAGGAGTGGACAACAGGCACCCAGTGTTGTGGTCCCCCAGGCAGGAGCCCAGCAGGCTGAAGTCCCACGAATCACATAAGCATTTCCTGCGTTCACCTCACCTAACAGCTGCTTCTGTGTGCCACAAGCACAGGTACTGAAACTAGAGAAAGAAGTGAGCTACTACCAGGGGGCCTGCCAGGATATTTACCCCTCACCTGTGGAGCTTTGCCCTGGCTTGTGCTCGTCTGCACGTGTGGCTGCCCTTGCCCATGACTCAAAGGCTGGCAGGTGAGCTGTCCCCCTTGCACAGGCAGACAGGTAGGAGACTATGACAGCAAGACCAGACATTACATTACCTTTAACTCTTATGTACCCAAGCAATTAATCAGCACTCCTTTCACCCAAGTCACGTGGATTGCCAACATCCCAGAGCAGTCCTGGCTCAACAATCTACCTGCAGACTGAATTTCTGCTCTGCTTAAATGACAGTTTTGTCCAGGGACTCAGTCTGCCTCCAAAAAACCAACAACAACAACAAAAACCCAAAAACCAAACCAAAACAAAAAAATCCCCCAAAACCCCCAAAAACCAAAAAAACAAACAAAAAAAAAACACAAAAGAGAAAAGCAAAAGAGGTGCTGGGCACCAAATACAAGCTCTTGGTAGTTGGTATTTTGCAAGATCCATCCTTTTTGAGAGACTGTACGTTTGTACCCTCCACTATTAAATGGAGGGACAGAAGGGCCACTTGAACTCTCTGTAGCCACTATACAGGATGGTAGGGAATGAGCCAGTGTCAGTGGTAAGGAAGCAAAACAGAGAACCGAAGAGAGATGAGAGTGGAGTAGAAAGCTCAAAGTTATGGACAAATTAATGAACCAGCAGTACTGGAAATGGGAAAAAGCTCTCAGACCATCATCCCATACAAGGGACAATGAAGAAAAATCATAATTTCTGATGCTTTTGATTGAAACAGAGTTATGCAAGACTAATATTGTTCACACTAATTTAATTAAGACTCTGTCAGCGCTATCAAGCTCAATTGACCTGGTATTTAAAATTTATAGAAGTCAGTTATAAAAATGTGCTCTGCACTAAAAATCAGCATTCTATAAATGGTCCCAGTCCTAGAAGGGTCGTCTTTTTGACACAGCAGGCTCTTGAGAGCATCCCACTCAGGTGCTAAGATATCTCTAGCTGAAAACATTGCAAGCTCAAGCTGCATTCCTTGCCCACAGAGACCTCTCTTTGCAGTTTGTGGGAATCTGGGGTGTCCAAGAAATGCAGAGTCAAGCTTTCTGGCAGCATCCCATCACCAAAATTATTTCACAGAGAATTAACCCCCAACTCTGACACTTCTTGTCACGTTAGATTCAAATCTCTGCATTTGCTGAGCTGTAACGAGCATGGAAAGGCAAAGGCTAGACAATAGACTTGTACCACTTGTGAACATTTTGGTTTCTGGGCTGGTCAATGACAGAAGCAGTTCACTATGTAGAGAAACAAGCTCGTCTGGGTGTCAGCAACAGCCTATGGGTAGAAGCATACCACAAACCTCAGCTACTGTCATGTACAGCCCTATTTACTGGGGCCACAGTATCTCTAAGCACTACCTCCTGCAGCTATGGGACATGCCTTTCTTCTTGCCTTGTGGGCAGCAAGCACCCACCAGCCTGAAGTCACTAGTGAAATCAGTTAGGTCTCTAGTGGGCTGTCTCAGGGAGTATTATAGATAAGATTCAAATAGAGGCTGCAAAATTAATATATATGCGAACAAACAACCAACACTCACAGAAAATCCCATGTTCTGCAACTGTTATTGCTTCATCGGTGACAGGAAAGAGCAGTGTTTTAAAATAGAAGTTCATTTAATTGAATTTCCCTTAAGGCACAGAAAATAAGCTTCCATGAAGTGGTATCAATTGTTCAACAATAACACGCTCTCCCGACTGAAAACTGGGTTAGGAATTTGTATTGTATTTTCACAAAACATAATTCCTAGCCCAGTTTCCACCTCCTCCTTGAGATAGGCAGGCAGATTCCACCTCAGTGGTTACTGAGTTGACTATGGGGGTCAGTCAATGTGTAACCAATGTCCAGCTTCTCCACATACTTGCTTAAGAGAGCCTGGTGGATCCACTGTAGGGCTTTAGATGCACAAAGGCATTAAAGGAGCTTGTTGTTTAAATACCTTCGTAGATATGCATCCTTATCCTCTGAGCTGGGGCCAGAGGTTCACAGCTGTGTCAAGCCCAAGTGAGGTCAGCTGAGCACAGGACCCCCATCCTTCTCCTTCCTGGGTTACAGGGCAGGTAGAACTGTGAATGTCAGGATACTAAAAAAAGGGAAATAAAGGAACACTCAAAAACTACAGAACAATGAGGACCTGTACCTCTTTCTGGTAATACAGAAAGTGTTAAGAACCAACAGTCATGTATTTATGTGTGAAACATTATTTTTCCGAAAGTTTGTCATAAACGTGGCTCACACCACAGGGATGGCCACGCTTTCCAAGTTTGTGCAGCAGGAAAGAATATTACCTGGGGAATAGGGTCAAAATATTAGTATTCAACTGAATCACTATGGGCCAAATTAATGAAGTTGCTACTCCATCATAGACTTCCATACGTGAAACCTGAGAAAGTGGTTGTATCAACAGCACATCAATCCATGGCGCTCGTCAGCGGAACAAAAAACCTAACCTTAAGTTTCACAGTTTCATTCAACCTTGGCACAGAAAGGTTAACTTGTGTTTAAACAATGCTTCTGAACAGATAATGTTAATTAAATGTTTGCATTCAAATCTTATTACACAGTGCAATAAGTTTGCTTTCTATACAAACACTGCGCATCCGGTGCGGAACAGAAAGCAGGGGGG